GCATCCCCCTTCATCACTACCCCCTGCATCCCCCCTTCATCTCTTTTCTAGATCTGGTAAGATCCATCAGATCTGGTTGACGGGAGAAGAAATTAAAGAAAAAGAAGGAAGAAGAAACAGAAAACAATGAAGAAGAAGGAAGAAGAAGACAGAAGAAGAAAGAAGAAGAAAAAGGAAGAAGAAAGAGAAAAAATTGAAGAAAACAAGCAGATGACCGAAGAAGAAGAAAGAGGAGTAAGAACGAGGAAGAAGAAAAAGAAAGAGAAAAATGAAGAAGAAAGAGAAAAAGGAAGAAAAAGGAAGAAACGGACGAAGAAAGTAGCAGGGGAAGAAAGGGAGGAAGAAAGGGAAAAAAATGAAATAGAAAAAGGAAACGGAAGAAGGAAGGAGAGGAAGAAGATGGGAAAAGGGTATGAAGGACATTTCCTTTCTAAAAACTTTCCTAAAATAGAAACGGGAACTTTAATTGTGGACAGACGAAAAAGAAAAGTGGGAACTTTAATAATGGACGGAGGGAGTATTAGATTTCTGATATTTTGTCCCCCATGTTTTTATACCCCACTTTGTACCCCGCAGCTTTGCACCAACACTTTGTGTTGGTGTAAACCTAATTTTTGTTAATGCACTAACACTTTGTGTCCGTGTAAATTTTTGTTAACGTACCAACACTTGTGTCGGTGTAAAGTATCAAAATGTTTGTGTATAACTACGGTGTACAAATGGGGTACAATTTGTGGTGTAAGTGTAGCATGACCCTTCCAATAAAGAAGAAGAAGAAGAAGAAGAAGAAAAGAAGAAGAAAGGGGGTGAAAGAAGAAGAAAAAGAAAGGAGTGGGAGGGGAAGAAGAAAAAAAAAGAAATGGGATCAAATTGAAAAATTTAAAATATATAAAATTCTAATTTAGCCCAAATGGATTTTAAGTGAAAGGATTATGTAAGTTGAGATACTTTTGTGAAAGGATTTAAAGTTCAGCTACCACTTCGAAATTCCAGTGAAATTTCATGCATCATTACTGAAATTTACAACTTTAACTCTTTCGCATAAAGTTTTACACTTTCCCATAAAATATTTATTTAAGCACCAAGGTTCCCATGACATTGGTTCCCAATGTCATGGGATGACCCGGGGGCGCTACGGTGCCCCGTTCGTAAAATTGACGGTTCCTACCCCCTCTCCAGTAAACCCCCCACCCCGCCCCGACACGAACACACCCCCACCCCTTCAATTGCACCCCACAAGTTGATTTTGACTTTGGAGTCAAAATTTGACTCCAAAGTCAAAATCAACTTGTGGGGTGCAATTGAAGGGGGTGGGGGTGTGTTCGTGTCGGAGCGGGGTGGGGGGTTTACCGGGGGGGGGGGGAGGGTAGGAACCGTCAATTTTATGAACGGGGCACCGGAGCGCCCCCGGGTCATCCCATGACATTGGTTCGTCATGGGTACCTTGCCCTTATTTAAGTTACACTTTTCCATAAACTTCTACTCTTTCTAAAAGACTTTTACACTTTCCCATAAAGTAATGATGTCTTTACATTGGAATACGTGAAAAGAGTGGTGAGAAAGTAATGACATCTTTACATTGCAATACGTGAAAAGAGTGGCCAAGCCGTCAAATTCCGTTTCCCAGTAGGTGTGCCTCTTAAGTGCATTAAATGCATTGTACTTTTGGTTAGTGGATCAAAAAATCTCTCTTTTAGCCTTTATTACTCCACGAGTACCAAATAATTAAAAGCCCAACCGTAACAACCATTTCACAAATTGGACCCATTATCTTATTTACACATTCGAATACCCAAAAATTAATACCCAACCCTTACCCATAACTTTAGGCGGGAAAAAGCCCGGTTCATACTTACCCTTCACCTTTGTATATTAAGAGATTTTCAAGTTGTTTCCACCATTAATGTAGTTTTAGGTGTGTGACTCAAAGTAAAAAATGAATTTATTTTCTCTTTTCACAATTAATGTGGGTACGTGACTCAGAATTGGTCTATAAGTTATGAAAAAATTTTTTGTTAAAATTTTTGTAACTTATAGACCAATTCTTTTGTTTATGTTTATTTATTATGAAAACGGTTGTGTTTAAATACGGAAATAAATGCTAGGGAATTAACCCCAAAACGTGAGTGATATAAATGCAGAGTAAAAGCGGAAGTAAATAAATAAGTCCGAAATAAGTAAAACGACATTTGATGGGTTCACGCCCAAATGATTAATTAATTCAAATGATTATAATTATTAAACTCGTCCGTGCGCCGCCCATCTCCTCATCATCACTGTCCTCCAGGGTTGGCACCTGTACCGTCATGTCTACCTGCGTGTAGCAAAAACAACTACACGCTCAGCAAAAGCTGAGGAGTGAATCTAACAAAAGAACATTAAGTGATAACCCATATGGTTATACACATATTAATACCTGTACTTTAACGTACGGAAAACCACATGTTTACTAACTGATTAATTTGCACTTTATGGGATATTATTACACATAACAAAATGAATAACAACCACATTGAATGTTGAAGTGACGTGGAACATACATGATGATGACGACCACATTTAATGTTGACGTGACATGAAACATACATGATGACAATATGACTTGATGCATGACTTAAGCTATTAGGGACACCCCTGACTTAGTCTCACTTGACAGGATCACCCCTGCACTCCGGTAATGACCCGGGCTCGACAAAACGTCGCAAGTGAACTAGCAAAAACCGGGTGGTAGCCGTAGCCTGACTACCATGTACGTACACAAAGCCCACCTGATGAAAACCTGTTGGATCCCAAAGGTTCCTGGACGGGCCCACTATAGTAGGCGCACGAAAGCCTGACCTCCCTACAGCAGTATGCACATGATGATGATCCTAGTACGTGCGTCTACAATGAACATGATGAATGCATGATGTATTTACCTTTGGTCAACGCCAAGAATATATCAATTAAATAACACACATAATGAATATTAACATTTCATGCAAACACACAATCAGATTCTGAGTCAAACTGGTCAAATGGGGCTCGTTCTACAAACTGCCCGAAATTCTGCCTGCGGAGCGGTCGATCGTACCCTACCGGCGGTTGACCGTGGGCTATGGTCTGGGGTCTGGGTCTCAGACGGTCCACCGTGGTCTTCCGTCATAGATGACGGTCGACCGTCCCGGCGGTGACCGTTGGACTGGCCGAGGGTATGGTCCACCGTCTGAAGTAACGGTCGACCGTCCCGGTGACAGTCTTCTGTCCTTGGCTACGTTTTGATCCATTTTGCAATCCTAACACCTTGATTCTTTTTAGAACAATAATACAAACATTGATGAATATATTCCTAGTGATTCCTAGGCCAATATTTATAAGTTTTACGTAGTGAACGTTTTGATGGCTAACCTACGAACATGCATAGATTCTACGTAGGTTGCGTACGATATTGCTATAAATATAACGACATAGATTATAACTAAATGTTCTAGAATTAGAGGGGACAACTACTCACCTCTAAACGATGCGTTGAAGCTACAAAGATGACGAGGAACGATGACTACGCTTTGCGCAAACGGCCTAGCTCTTCTTCCTCTTCTTCTCCCTCAACCGTGCACCCACCGGAGCTTCGTCGGAGACCTCCTGGGCTGCTTGCTGCCTTGGCCAAACAGGGGGAAGGGGAAGAGAGAGTGGGTGATGATGGAGAATTGATGGTGGGGGTTACAAATTGATGAGGAACATGAATGGAGAAGGGGGTTTTTATTAGAGGGAATAATGAGACATGATGAAGGAATTAATGTGGGCACTTAAATGAAAAATGATGGTGAGTGGAAGAGGAATGGCGTGAGGGAGGAGGAGTTACAAATATTTATTTACTCCGTTATGTAAAAATCTGACATGAACGGTACGCGGTTTTTCCCCGAACGAGTCCGAATTGAGATCTGTTTGCGTTTTTGGAACCAGACAGTTAAAACGAATTTAATAACATGTTCAAATAATTTTTCTAAGAACGTTATTTTCAAACTTCCGGGTCCACCCCAATCATTAATTAATTCATTTAATTAATGTTGAGTGGTCGGTTATTAAACATCTTTTTATATTAAAATACATTAGCTTAAGAATGCCATTTAAAGAGGTTTGAATCTCAATATTTATTAATTTAAAATAACGAGTCTCAATAAATAAATAATATTTATTTATTTAAAATATTGGCTAACTGTTAGGCCGGTTTGTAGGGCGTTCAATAAGAATATAAATAATTTTTTGAATTCGAAAGAAAACAAATCTGAATATCTGGTGGTCCCAAAGTGGTGAGATACAAAGTCTAGAGGGGGGGGGGGGGGGGGGGNGGGGGGGTGAATAGACTTTGTTACAATTTAAAAACTTTTTCGTTTCTTTTTGAAAACGTGAAAATGAGTGTTTAATCTAGAGTTCTTGTGAACCTTAGATTGTGTGCGGAAGTTGGTGGGTAATTGAGCAGTAATCAATATGGATGGGTTAGTTTTCACAGTTAATATAGTTGGAAGTATAAGTAAAGATAAGAGAGAGAGAGACACGCAAACTTTAACGAGGTTCGAAGGTGGGGTAATCCTTCTACGTTCTCAAAATCCACTATGTAGTTGGTTGTTGAATAATGAACCAAAAATTACACTTGTGTGAATTTCTGCACGGTATATCTTCGCAAGGCCAATGTTGTTACTGCACTCGTGCTGGCTTTGTTGTTCCTTCGAAGGTCAAGCTTCTTCAACAACTGCAAGATCCAAACAATAGGACTTGCAAGATCAACTTGTAAGAAAGTTGATGTACCCCCTTTTTAATCAAGAAGTTTGATTAAAAGTTGTATCCTTCAACGTGGTGTGGTACTTGAGGCAAGGAAACCTTCAAGTGTTTACACTATAGCCCTTTGGAAGGAGGAGAAGTTTGCTTCTGGATAAGGAGTTTAGAAATCTCTCTTTATCAAGCTTTTTGGCTAACTGTGAATGAGATAGCTTTTATTCTCGTTGATGTTAGTTTGATAATCAATCAGGTATTATTCTCCGGTCTTCCAAGGAAGCTATTTATAGCTGGATTAGGTAATCTATCCGTTGAATCAAAATAGACTATCCGTTGCATTTGCTGGCTTCAATTTGAATGAAGATTGTGATTGAGGATTCCTCATTGGAATGGGTGTTTGGACATACCCAATTGTTTGAGGAGGGATTCCTTTTTCCACAGAATCCGTCTTCTAGCTGTTGTTCAAGAATTCTGGACTGTAGCCCTTTAATGAGTGGAGTACTCAGTTTGTCTTCTAGTGCTTGTTTAGGAATTCTAGGCGAGCTCTTTAATTTGAGAAGTCCAGACTTTGTCTTCAAGTCATTTGTTCTTGAATCAGCTTAATTATCCTCAATCTAGCCATTAAAAATCAAGAGATTGATTTTTCCTTACCAACGGGTAGAATTTCTTCATTCAAGACTAAGATAATTTTCTAAGTCTTTTTCTCACTTGTCTGCTTCTGAGAATTTCGGTCTTCCTTGAGGCATCCGGTTCTTTGCTGACAAATTCGGAAAAGTCATTCATAGACTTCCAGGTGAGAAAGAGATCCGCGCTAGTCTTCCGATCCGGATGACTTAGCCTTCAGCGGGTTGTAGCGAGACATCCAGTTATCATGTAGTGTTCCGGATTAGAGGATCTTCAAAGTAATCAACTGCTTTGAGAATTCCTTACTTGTCTCTGACATTTCCGATCAAGATATCCAATTTCCATATCACAGAATTTGACTAAGTCTTCAAAGATTGACATCAAGCCACAGAGTGAAATATCACAACTTTATTGGAAATCTCAAGAACTCGGTTTTGACAATATTTCTAAAAAGAAAAATTACATTGAATATTGGGGGAGACCTAAAGTCCTTATTACAATCTAAATACATCATCATCAAAATCTATAATATTTTTCCCAACAATATCAATGTACTCCGTCCGTCCACAAATAAACTTTACATTACGCGTTACGATGTTTGACTGAAGTTATTTTCAAATCATTTTATATGAAAAATGGTATAGAATTGAAAAATAAAAATTACATATTAAAAAACTATATCAAAAGATCTACAAAACTAGAGGTGACATGACTATATTATTTTATCAAATGGGTGACGAAAATAAGCTAACAAAGTGAATAAAGTTTGACCCTGTGAATAGTGAACGTAAAGTTTATTTGTGGACGGAGGGAGTATTTGTAATCGATTTGATATCTAAACCAATACATTCGGATTTAAATACTCTATAAAAATTTATACATAATATACCTTCTTCAGAATAGATAAAGAACATAATATAGAGAGTATTTGATAATAAATATGGAGCATAATATACTTCGGCAATGTTTGCGTGTACATACATCCTCCCCAAATCCTACTCTCGTAAGATCTAACTAGGTTGTTGTTGTTGTCTTTTTGGACATTCCATTTTTAGTACAAAATACTCCCTATGTGAACTAGAATATTTCCTCTTTCATTTTTTTCTTTCACCAAAATACTTTCACTTTCTATTAAAAACCCACTTTTACCCCTACTAATATGATATTAGTAGGGGTAAAATTATATATATTCATAATTTTTTAATTTTTGATATCCATTTCTCTATTAAAATTTGTATGTAGGCTTTTTTAGCATTTGATGGAGTGACAACTTCTAGGTTTAAATCCCAATTGGATGTGTATTTGGAAGAACTCAAGGTGGATCCTAATGAAAATTTAGATGTTCTTGAATGGTGGAAAGACAATGCTAAAAGATTTCCTGATGTTGCAAAAATGGCAAAAGATATATTAAGCATACCAATCACCACAGTTTTTCATCAGAATCTGCTTTTAGCTTAGGTGGTAGAATTTTAACAAAGTGGAGAGCATCACTTAAGCCTGAGAATGCTGAAGCTTTGATTACCACCCGTAGTTGGATATTTGGATATGATGTTGATGAAGGTAATTTAATATATATAAGCCTCAATTTATTTTACACTTACAAATTAAATCTTCATATATGTGTTGTTGTATAAATATGTAGATGATCATGACAAACTTGAAGAAGGCATTGAGTTGGATTTCAGGCGTTCGAGTCGTGATAAGCATCAAATTGAGACGGGGATGACTTCATTTGAGAAGAAACTTTTAATCATTTTTTTTGAACTCTAAATTATTTTGCATTTTGATTCTTGTGCTTGGATGGTTCATTTGAGAGATGATGATGTTTAGAATTTTTTGCTATGTTTAATTTCTTGTTGTTGTTTTGAATGATTTTCTTCTCTATTTTAAAGAATACATTGATCACTTCATATCTAAATGGAAAAATTTTAAATTTTTAAATACGTCTCTTAACCCGTTGGGTCAACCCGAACCCGATAGCTTTGGGTCATGAACAAGCATCCTTAGACCCGAACCCGAAGTGACCCGAACCCGAAATTACCCAAACCCGATCATACTGAACCCGAACCCGACCTGACCGACCGTTTTGCCAGGTCTACTAATATCCATCTACCTATTAAATCATACCTTTTAACCAATAACCTACCTATCACATTCTTTTAAAAAAACTTACCTATCACATCTTATTTTTAATCATCATGTCAAAGGTAAAATTAGAAAAATAACAACAAATATACACTCTTTATTTCTCTCATTAGTTAAAATTAAAATTGTTTTCATGAACAAATGGAGTATATGATTAATTTGTGGTGTAATAATATTTGAAGCTATAAAGCTTTAAAAATTTTAAAATTTTTATTTTATAATAGAATACGAATACGAATCGAATATTTGAAATTTAGTATCAAATTGAATATTGATAGTATTAATTATTCGAATAAAAAATGAAATTGTGTAACGCCCCAAAATATACCCTAAAATTTATTGAATTAAATATTCAATTAAACAAAATTTGTTTTGATTAAAATAAATTATTGTTGGGCTTTGGGCCGAAATAAAATATATATTGATGTCCAATAATCATAATTGGGTTAAATCTCATAGAGATAAATCCAACCTGTTGACTTATTGTGTGATCTTGATTGGGAACCTGAGTACAGACCCAAATTAAGAATAAATGAAGAAATTGTTTGTAATGTGAACTTTGAAATGATTTATTGAAATAAATCATGGAAATAAATAATATGAATTAAATGTGAGAACCTTTTTGAATAAAAGTCAAATAAACCAATTTTGACTCTGTCAAAGTCAACAACCCAAAAATATGATGTCGGAAAAAGTATAACGAATAAATATAAAAATTATATCATTGGATAGAGTTTAATTGTACGATCGCAACGGTTCAATCGAATTTTAATTCGGAGAAAGTTGGACCAAAAAGTGTTCCCCGACTGGGACCAATTTAGTCCCAATCAGGGACTTACGTTTAGAATCGGAGAAGATAGCAGCCCACTCCACTCAGCCGCCGAAACAGTCGAAAGGAGGTCATCATCGTGTCTGCTTCCTCTTCACTAAGGCTATATAAGGACCACCTCTTCCTACCCAATTCTTCACCATTTCTTCCCAAATTACTTCTGAGAGTTAGCTTTGAGTGTGAAGAACGCAGTGGTGCTATCATCTTTGTGTGAGGTAGCCGGAGCAGTGAGATAGAGTCGCCGGAAGTTTCGCCAGAAAATCGTCAAAACCCCCCTTACGCT